TATTACAGGTACGCTGATATTTTTGTGAATACTTAACAGCTAATCCTGTTATTTCTGAGGCAACTTCATATTTTTATGAATGAAGTAAGCCATTTTTCTTTTAAGTACCTTAAAGGGATTATTGTACGTTATTTGAGTTTAAACTGGATTCAACAGGTAGAGTTACAGTTCTTTGAAAGGCTAACTTAAATATTTAGGTGATGAAATATAAAAGGGTAATCTATTTCTATTGACATTCAGGTTAATTCTCAGATAATACTTCCGGTTAAAAATGGCAGGATTCCACAAAATGACAATAGCATAGCTATGCTTAAACTACAGTTTTTGAACCTCTTTACAATATATGACTGGTATTAATTCTATTATTCATTCTGTTTTTTCTGCAAGATTTAACACTCGTTTGTCAGGTGACATTGAACAAAGAAATACTATGTACCAGACATGGAGCTGTTGCAGTAAAACTGATTGAAACTAAATTATTACTTTTTAGCAAGTTCCTGTAAAGTATATTCTGTTACTAAAGCATTTTTTCTTCTTTAGAAAGCCTGTGTGAGAATTCCTTTAAATAAATATGGAGATACATACTGGTTTGCTATAAACATGCCTTTATCCACTGCTCTCAAAATTAACTGGGATAGTAAAACCCCTGTGACTTGCTGAACTGAATTATGGGTAATATCATCAATGGTTGTGAATGTGGAGTTTTCTCCCTCTTTATATACAGTAACTTTTCAGTACAAAGTTATTTCCATATGGTGGTTTTCCATTATTTGTGTTAGACTACAATTTCCATCAATATCTATCATCTCTAGCCAGAACAGTTGATAGATATGCATTCAGCTGATCAATGTTGTAATAAATATATCTGTGGGGCACCTGACTGGTTTTGAGAAAGTCATAGACTTTTGAAGGAAGCTGTCCAATTACTCTCCCATAGTCTGTCTGTCTCTCTTTCTCTTGAATTGTGAAGTAAGAAACTGTTTTCTATGAGTGCTTGCCTGATAAATCATGTTTTTCACTTGTATGACTAGGTTTGCACTTAGCCAGTATAACATTTCTCATAGTACTGCAACTATATCTTCATGGTTGGTACTTTATTTTTACCATGAAAAAGAAGTGATTTCTGTCAGTTATTCTTACATTTCAGAATGGCTGTATAAAATAGAAACACGGATCAGTTTAGAGGAGATGCTACTCTTGAGCTACGCCTTGGGACTTGGTTAAGTTACAATTTACCCTAGCATGACCTCTTGAGCAGAGAATTCCAGCTTTCATTTTATTGATCATGTGTTAAATTTGATATGCATTGGCTTGCTCAGCGCAGTGCAGAGATATCTAGGGGACACAGGGAGAGAAATGGAGAGTGAAACATTTGCAATAAGGGAATGCACTGTCTGGGATTCAATCCCAGGCTTTTACACCAGTGAACATCAGTCATCCTTCCAAGAACATTGTAGGGTTAGTTCTCAGATTGTAAACCCCCTGCGTCATATTACCTGTCTCATAAAATAGTCTCCTGTTTTTAAAAAGGGATAGAGAGAAGAATGGCTGAAATCTGTCTTTCCGTGTTATTCCAGAAGCCATAATAATTAAATGGTTTTTGATATTTTTATGTCTTTAATTGTATTCTGTGAATTAGATGGGAAGTTCCTAAATTTGATGTATAAATCAAATCAAATCAAATCAAATCAAATCAATATAACTTACATCTTGAGTCTTTTGAACAGGTAGCCACAGGTCTGCTACATCAGAATAGTACATACTTGCACCTTCCCTTAAGTTCTCAGAGAGAGAGGTGGAATGTAACATATCCATCCTTATGTGTGAGGTTTTATATGACTTCCATCACCCTTTTTGGAGGGAAGAGAGGACAATTTATTTTTACACGATATACAGTATATCTTGTGAGGTATTTTTAGTGCCTCCTGGTGGTCTATATAGGTATGTAATAGGCTTATTCTTAATTGAATACAGTTATGATCATAGAAGATTGATTGTTATGATTATTTTCATTTTCTAACTACATTACAATCAAAATCCCAATGTATGGCTTGATTTGTAGAGGGGGAAAAATTACATGGCCTCAAACTACTAAACAGTATGTCTGTTATGTGAACTTGGCTATATATATATATATATACGTAGCTAGGATGCAGACTCACCATATTTATGACTACCATGTGGTGGAGAAGACTTTCCTGACCTGATGTGTTCCAGATGTGTGGAACAGAAACTTCCAGAATTCACAGTCAGTATGCCCTGTGCTGGTTGGGAGTTTTAGCCCAATGCTGCTGTACTATAGATGCTTATCTCTTCTTATTTACCTCTCTTTCATTCTTTCAATTTTTTTTTTTTTTGAACAATTGCAAATTCTTGAAAACAAGCGGAGCTGTGTTTAAAATTTCCTAGTCCTTTTTTAAGCCCTGAACTAAACGCTTTACGCGTCTTTTCTTTTTAACAAGATACTTAATATTTTGCAGATGTATTGTTTTTAGAGATGTATTGTCGTTCTGAGAACAGCAATACAGAGAGAACTGTTTTCAAAGTAGTTTTTATTTTTATTATCCCTATCCCTATCCCATTCTTTAGGGCAGAATTTTCCTTTTCTAGTCCAGCTTCTTTTCCTATATTTTATTTGTGAATTAAACAGGCATTCATTCTAAGAAGGACAAAACCAAACTCTGCTTTTCGTAGAAATGATTCTATTTAATATTTTCCAGTATTAATTATCTAGACAAACATAATGGTTTTATTGCTTTGGGATTATTCTTCTCTCAGTCACATTTTTTCCCTCTTTTTGTTAAGTTCAACAAGCCAAAGTGATGTCAGAATGACCACAGACATATCAGCTCATCATCATGCAAACATTGCATTATTTGCATCAAACCATTTGACACAAGCATAAGAATTGTTCATTTGCGTTATCACAATCATATCTTTCTCTTCCCTTAAATCCAGCCCCATCCTGATGCTCATTCCATTGCTCCTTTTATATTTGTGTGTAATTTCCCCTCCTCTGACCATTGTTTTTTTCCTTTTATGAGTGAATCTGAATAATTACGATGACCTAAGTCACTGATGGCTAACATTTTTGCCATCGCATGCCAGGAGCGGGGGGGGTCATGTGTGTGCCCACACCCATAATTCTATGCGCCCTGCCCCCACACATGCACGCACAACTCCCCCCGCTCCTGGCACGTGATGGCATGGTAGGCCCATTTTTTGCTCTCCCCAACCTCCAGAGCCTTTCTCTGGACCAGAAGTTGGCAAATGGGCGTTTTTGGCCTTTGGGAGAGTGGGGAAGGCTGTTTTCGCCCTCCCCAGACTCTTACAAAGGCTCTGAAGGCTGAGGAGAGAGAAAATGGGCCTTCCCCTCCCCCAAGGTCCTCTGGAGGCAGGAGACAGCCTGTTTCCCTACTTATGGTGGGCCCAGAACAGTGGTGGGTTTCAAATTTTTTTACTACCGGTTCTGTGGGCATGGCTTGATGGGCGTGGCATGGCATGGCATGGCTTGGTGGGCGTGGCAGGGGAAGAATACTGTAAAATCTCAATTCCCACCTCACTTCAGGGGAAGGTTGCTGCAAAATCCCCATTCCCTCCCAATCAGCTGGGACTTGAGAGGCAAAGAATAGATGGGGGTGGGGCCAGTCAGAATTTTTTACTACTGGTTCTCCGAACTACTCAAAATTTCTGCTACCAGTTCTCCAGAACTGGTCAGAACCTGCTGAAACCCACCTCTGGTCCAGAAGGCCCAAAAATCAGCTGGCTGGCACGTGCATGCGTGCCATAGCTGAGCTTACATGCCCACTGATATGGCTACATGCGTGCTATAGGTTTGCCATCAGAGACCTAAGTGAAGCGGGATAATATCTAGCAATTCAGGCTTACTTACATGGTGAGAACAAAGAAAAAGATGAAATCAGCTGGGGGGGAAATGGAATGAAAGCTAAATAATTTCTGAATGAATAAAAAAAATGAGAAAAAGACTGTTACTGCACATAAATATTTTCTGGAAAATGCCAAGTAATTTCAGATCAAATATGATTATTGGGTTTTAAAATATCAAAACTGAACCCAAAGTTTCTTTTCTTATCCTATAGATTCACACCAGTCCTCTACCAGAATATTTTTATATCTAATCTATACCTAAAACCCTGAATGCTGTATGGTTCAAGGAAATGTATCTGCTGATTCTGTGACTACAAGTAACAGAGTGTTATGCCTGAATGAGCTGTAGCAGAAAAAGTATCAATTTCCCCTTAACCATTAAGACTTTCAATAGACTTCAATCCACAATTCATTTGTAAACATCACATAATGAGAAATCATAATATGGATAAGACGTGCTACAACAATGCATCATGAATTTTCCAGTTAGATGACTGAAAGTGATGTGAAAAAATGGTTGTATGAATTATGTTGAAATATTATTAGCTATTAATATCTTTAATGTATTATTAAAGTTTATTTTGTTTTATTAATTATTAAATTTGTTTGCTGCTCATCTTTCCATGAGGTGACTCTGGTAATTAAAATACTGTATACTTCAAAATATGATTAAAATCTCTGTTTCCATATACTTGCAAATATCATTTTGAGATGCTTAGGCAGGATATTCAAAGCAAGCTGGCTATTTCATTCTTTTTGGTGGTCTCTATTTTTATCTCTATATTCTGTACCTGTACAGAGCGGCATTTTAGAATTTACTATTGCTAAACTACAGACAGATCACAAATGGGTAACAGGAAAGCCATATTTTTAATTAAAGATAAATTTGGAATTCTTGAGCATTTTATTGAAAAGACTAGCATTGCTACCATTAACATATCCTGTAAATGTAAATTCTCTGAGTAATCTCTTTAATGAAACTACAAGCATAGATTCAAAATGTAGATTTAATGCATTACCTGTATATCATACTAATTTGATGTTATTTCGGGAAAAGTAAAGGCAGAGAAAACTAATTTTTATTAATACTGTGATGTTGTGTTGTATTTTAGATTGCTGAATATCCAGAAGATCGTCCTGTGAATTTTTCAGTGTTCATATCTTCATGGATTTCTGTAATCCATTAATTTCTCCGTATATCCTCTTCCCTGTTTCGTGAGAGTATTAGCCAGCACAGATTCTGGGAAAATTACATGTAAGTCCTACTTTTGATTCCTGTTTTATTAAAAAGGGGTTATAGAAAGAAGCTTTTTCCTAATGGGGAGGGGAAAGGAACTCAATAATCTGTGTAGTTCCTGTGAAAGCATTTTAAAATGTAATTGATCAGTTAGCATTAAGCTTTGAATAAATTAAATCTGAAGTACTGTTACTGTCTCTTTAAAACTAAATGGAGTAATTTTGTCATTTTGTGAAGTTCTTGAGTACTTTTTTCTCTTGACAGCAAAGCTTAGAAGCAGGAACTTTATTAAGCCTTTTTAATATATGTGAAATTACTGTGGAATTTTTTTTAATGTGGCATAGTTAGATACAGAACTCTTGTCCGATATATTTCCTTATAAACTTTTCCATATTAGGTTATAAATTTGGTTGATTCAGAGAACCATGATTTTACAGTTTATCCATGTATCCGTTCATTCATTTCATCAACAGTGGAGTCCTTAAGTCATTGGCATTTTAAGGAAATAGGTTTTATATTTTGCAGAAGCCTGGTAACTGAGAGCTTACTAGATGACAATTTTGACAGGCATGCAACGTGTTTTGAAAACATGAATTCATGTGTCTTTTTAAAAATTAAAAACTCCCTAAATACATTTGGAGAAGTAACCTCATTCTAAAATTCAAGTGGGAGCCTCCCTCCTCCCCACACACATAAATTAAGAATTTATTTTTTAGATTTATATCCCGCTCCATTATTTTTTGAAAAATCACAGGAGGATCTGCAGCTTTCAGTTCACAACAGAAAATAGTTAATCTAGCTGGTCTTCTGTCCCTCCCAATAATGTGAAGGTTTAATCAAATGACAGGGACCATAGGACATGTCATCCATGGTTCAAAAATAAAAATGTTCCCAACTGCATAGGGGAGGAAATGGAGAAAAAATGCAAAAACCTTCTTCTAATGACAGTTTCATTGCTTGCAGTTGATCTGTACAAGCACTTTTTATTTTTCTTCAGGTTTTAGCATTATAGAAATTTCATCTAACTCAAGTCTCTTAATATAATTAGGATTTTTAAAGCTTTTATAGTCAGATTGGATAATAATGTGTCCCTGTTTATCCCCAAATTATAGGGGATAATTATCCTTAGATGCCAGGAGTAATTTCTAAACAGTGAATATGTTGAATCTGCTTCATAGCACGTCAAGCCACCAAAGTCCTGAAAAGAAGACTATAGCTAAGTTGTTGTGCCATACAGTAAGAGTGTAACATAGTTGATAATGCTTGTAGATGAAAAGCTGATCCTTCAAATTATTAATTGGATTTTTAAAAATGTAAATGTTCCAAAAATGGGAGCTGTGAAATTTAAAATCCTCAATTTTTCCCTTGACTATCTGCCCCAGGAAGTGTTTAATGGGTAACTTGTCTTACCATCTACATGTATTGTACATTTTATGTGTGTGTGTTTGTATAAAATATAAATACACACACACATGTACAGACATAACATATATACCTTATAACTATACACACACATATACCAAAAATTGCAAAGTGTTATATTTCTGTTTTCAGAGATATTTTAATATTACAACCTTCTAAATTCAGTCTAAATTAAGAATGTTTTATTAATATTGCAACTTTATTTTTACATTTGAGTTTTTATCATCTTCAAGTACTTTTTTTTTTTTTAATTTGATTTATATGCCGCCCTTCTCTGGAGACTCAGGGCGGCTTACAATGCGTTAAGCAATAGTATTCATACTTTTGTATATTTATACAAAGTCAGCTTATTGCCCCCACAAACTGGGTCCTCAATTTTGACAGTTTAATAAATTTTCTTTTTAAAAAAACTGGTCATTTTCCATTTAGTGGAAATGCATCAAAGATTATAATTTATCATTATCATTATCAACCTTATCATATATAAACCTTATCATTTTGCTATTTATTTCTGTTTTTAAAAGAAAAATCACATTAAGGGTGCTATAAACTGTCATTTATCATTTTAAAGCAATTTGAAGTAGTTGCAGATGCAAAATCTGGAGAGTAATACTAGGGGTGGGTTCTACTTACTTTTACTACTGGTTTGCAACGGGGCCGTGCATGCCCAGAAGCTTCCTGATGATGTTGGGGTTGGTAGGTGGAGCCTCTTGCCAATTTTACTACTGGTTCTATAGAACCAGTCTGAACCAGGAGCAACCCACCTCTGTTTAATACATATAAAAAGGAGGTAATGTTGATTCAAGAGTCCAAATGAATACCTAAGAGTCTGTGCCTATTTGAAGTTAGAGGAAATGTGCTTTTTCCACATCACACTCAACTTCTCACTGTACGTAACTGGTAGAGCAACTAACACCTTTTGCTCAAAGCTAACTCTAGATACGGTCATATAGACTAACACATAATTTGTGCCACCTTTTGAATGCAAGTTCAGAAACTATTATTTTATATTCCACAAAATTAAGGAGCAGCTAATAGGAGAGTCATTTCATTTTTCATCATTGGGAAGAAGCATGCAAAGAAAGCATAAAGGGAGACAGAAGGAGCCAAAAGTTATAGTAAAACCCAGCCCTTAACTTTTTGTCAAGAATAAAATGCCACAGCAAAATAATAATAATTTTTTTTTAATCGTCATTGAGCTGGCTTGTTTTGTGCCTCAATAGATAGGTCTCATAAAGGGAAGTTAGGTCCTGATAATATATATATTTCCCTCTAAGTCAGTCACCATCTTTTACAGACCATAAAATTTCCAATAGAATATTTCATGTGCCATGTGCTAGTCATTTATTTCAAGATATCAAAGTCAGATTACTCAAATGACAGTATTAGTGAAATCCACTTTCCCTAACCTTAGCCAGTGAAACTAAAATTATTCTCACCACATAAGTTTTAATTTTACTTTAGTTTCAATACTTCTGTCTGTAATAGCCTCTAAGGTACAGTCATTCAGTAACTGATCTGAGGGCATTGTGGTTGTAGCTGAGTTAGTATATGTCCCATATTTCATAGCACCTTTTTTTACAACCTTCAAAGGCCAAATAATGTAGAATTTTTGCAGATCATCTTTTTAAAAAATGTTTTCATTTTTAAGGGCTTTCACAATAATAGTTTTGTTATTCCCCTCATCTTACCCTTCAGCAGACGCCATAGGCAGGGGTGAGTTCTACTTACCTTTACTACTGGTTCGCAACGGGATCGGGCATGCGCGCTCACGTCGCTCGCACACTCGCCTTGCTTCTGCGCATGCGCAGATCGCTTCTGATGACATCAGGGTCAGTGGGCAGAGCCTCCCGCTGGTTTTACTACCAGTTCTATAGAAGTGGTCCAAACTGGGGGCAACCCACCACTGACCATAGGATGAGAAGACATTTTAGGGTTTTTATATATATATATAGAGAGAGAGAGAGAGAGAGAGAAGGAGAGAGAGAAAAGATATTCTCTCTCTGTTTTCTGTCCATCTAAATGTGGTGGGTGAATAAAAATTGGTGGGAGGGAGTCAAGGAAATTAAGACTTGTTCTCCATCATTCCTGAATGTAAAATACAGCAAAATGAGTTTTAAGTAAGAGAAAGCTAGATTTAAAAGTAATGTTTTTTAAAACCTTTCCTACCAGAAAGATAGGCATATAGTTAAAAAAATTATCTTCCCCTCAGTGGATAATGTTCAGACAATGGCTAGAGCAGGGCTGTCAAACTCACACCCCGCAGGCCAGATGCGTCACGCACTGGCCACGCCCATGCCCAGTTTAGCCAAGGGGGGGGGGAAAGTCACAATATGTCACGTAATGATGCTGTGACAACACGAGTTTGACACTCCTGGGCTAGAGAGACATTTGTTGGAAATTGATTAATTCAGATGTGTTAGTTCAGTGACTCCTCCAACTCTAGAATTCTAATGGAAAACTGAAGATATTCAGGATTGACTGTTGAGAGGCAGTTAGGATCGTGGCAGGCTATGGATACCATCAGTAAATAAAATCTGGACAACAGAGTCCAAGAAATGGACAAAAGTAGTAGGTAAAACTTAAGGAAAAACAATGCTTCTGGAAGTCCTCCTAATAGTGAGTGAGACACTACTTTTCCTTCTGTGACTCAAAACTGGCCATAGTAGAAGTCTATGAGGTTTGTTTTCCTCCATTTCTCCCTTTTATCTCAGTTTTTAGATACTTTGATCTTAATGCAAAGAAGGTCTAACTAAGACGATTAAGACCTGAATAGTACTGTATCTGAATGAGAAATCAGCTGGAAATACAAGGACTGCAGGTTGGGCAGTTGAAAAAAAAAAGCAATCGAAAAATCGCTTCTGTTTTGTTGCCAAAAATTTGCCAAGAATCAACTTGAAGAAGACTTTATCTTAAAGGGAAGAAGAGACATAGTAGGGTTCTGTTATCTTATCCAGGTTCTCAAGAAACCATGGCATTGCAACAGTTCTTATCTTGCTAGGATAAAGCAAGAGCCGCGATGGCGAACCTGTGGCATGCGTGCCACAGGTAGCACGCGGAGCCATATCTGCAGGCACACGAGCCGTTGCCCTAGCTCAGCTCCAGCACGCATGCGCACGCCAGCCAGCTGATTTTTGGCTGGCCCCACCCATGCCGCTCCTCCCCTCCCAGGAGTCTCCACACGGCCCGTTTTGGATGCCAGGTAAGTATAGGGCTTGCACGGAAGCTGTGGGAGGGCATTTTTGGCCTCTGGAGCCTGGGGAGGGTGAAAAACAGGGCTACCGGGCCCACTGGGAGTCGGGAAACAGGCCGTTTTCAGCCTCCGGAGCTTCAGGAAGGCCTACTAGGCCCAAAACAGGGCGGGGGGGTCATATGTGGGGGAGCACGGGGGAGTCACACACACATGCACATGCGCAGGGGGTGGGGGGCATTGAATTATGGGTGTGGGCTCGCATGCACGTGCTATCGTGCACATGCACGTGCTTTTGGCACCCAAGGAAAAAAAGGTTCGTCATCATTGCCCTAGAGCCAAAGCACTAACAAAAGGCAGAATGTGGAAGGGAAAGAAATGATATTCTTTACTCGTTGTGTTACAA